CTTATGAATTATTGCTTATATTTTAAGGCTATACATTTGGGACACAAAGGATTTAACTGCATACTCTTGCTGTGAGATGCTGATATTAAATGCACATTTCCTCATTGTCCATTTTGTCCAATGTGAATTACAACACATTTGCTCATTTTCTTTTTGATCCAGTATTTTCTCCATCTTCAAATTTTAAGCTTTCTAGAGCAACCTATTGGAAAATTCTTCCTGATGAATTAGTTGGATTTTTGTTTCTTAACCCATTCTAGTCTCTTTTTGTATTATTTTTGTCAGTTGTGGGGCTTGAACTCGGGGCTTGGGCGCTGTCCCTGAGCTCTTTTACTCAAGGATAGCACTCTACCACTTGGAGCCACAGGCCCACTTGCAGAAGAAATAGAGACTCGTGGAGACTCTTCTGCTGGGGCTGGCTTCAACCTGCGATTCTCAGATCTCAGTCTCCTGAGTAGGATTATAGGCATGAGCCATTGGCTCCTGGTCTAGTCTTCCTTTTTAACTAGGAAACTTATCTCATTACATATCAGCTTGCTTTTCCTTGGTGTGCATTCATTGTACAAGGGTAGTTCATATGGTATTTCCACGGTCTCTTGTTTTGTTGACCCTTTTTTATTCTGGTTTCCTCTCTTTGCTTTATAAGAGATTTGTTTATTTGCTGGTGTGTGTGTGTGTGTGTGTGTTTGAATGCAGGGTCTGTTTCTTCAATAACTTTGTACATAAAACTCTAACCCACTGCCTGGACCCCAGTATCCACCAAATGTGTGTGGAATAAATTAATTATGTATAACTTGAGAATTAATGTGGACAATATAAAATATACACACTGCTTTTAATTATTAGTGGTTAATTTCAGAAAGTGTTTTAAATGAAAACTCTAAGCTGGGTGCCAGTGGCTCATGCCTGTAATCCGAGCTTCTCAGGAGGCTGAGATCTAAGGATTGAGGTTCAAAGCCAGACTGGGCAAGGGAAAAAAAAAATCTGTTCTACTTCCATTAACCAGAAAAAAATAAAAGCCATAAGTGGAAGTGTGGCTCAAGTGCTAGAATGCCAGCCTTGAGTAAAAAATGCTAAGGGAGAGTGTCCCAGGCCCTGAGTTCAGTACCCAGTACTGGCACCAAAACAAACAAATTTTTTAAAAAACAGTCAAGGTTAACAGTAGATTAACGAAGATAAACTCTTTATTGAGATGAAGCATTTAGAACCTGGAACTCCAGTTGATAAATCTCCTATTTCAGTCTTTATCAAGTTAAGTCATATTTACAATCCCCTTTCCCCCTTTTTCTAACCCAGAGCCTTTATGTCACCAAAAAAATGAGTTTAAGCCCATTATTTACACACATGCATTCATCTGTTTGTATTCCACTTCCCAGTCTCTCTAGCTATAACTTCTTCTTATTCTCACTGTTCTGATCATCAATATCTCAGAGGGCCCTAGAGGTCGTAAGCCTCAAACCATCTATGCACATGTTCTGTGACTTCCCAGTTGCTCCTCTCCTCCCGCGTCACACCAGTATTTCCCAGGGGCTGGTCTTCACTGCTAGCCAAGGATTTCTGCACAAGGTTTCATCTTCTATATGTCCATCCACTAACCTATCACTTGTGTCCCTAGGCATTCTGGGAGCAGGCAAAAGTCTGAGAAGCAGCCATTGGTGGAGCTTGAGGTCCACTAGCTGTAGGGTGTGTACTGAGGTGCTGGGGGACAGTGTGTGTCCGGACCCCCTGCGCTGGTATGGAACCCTTCTGGGATTAGCAGCAACCCTAGGGAACTATGGGGCAGGGGGGAGAGGGGAAAGTTATCTGAACAAAGATAGCACTGTTACCAGATAACTGGGCAGAGACACTGACCACCAGAAAACACACGCATCTGCGGGCGAGCGACAAGTCAGGCCTTGCTTTACACTGATAGGCCTGGTTCTGCAAATTCACCATTTTCCAAGTGATATGACTTAAACTAAGGGGTCACTTTCTAGATCTAACTCCTGTGTGTTTGTGTGTGTGTGCGTGTATGTGTGTGTGTGTGTGAGACTTAAACTCAGGGCCTAAGTACTGTTCTTCAGTTTTTTTTCTCAAGGTTGGCACTTTACCACTTGAACCATAGCTCCACTTCTGGTGTTTTGCTTAGTAAATGGAGGTAAGAGTCTCTCAGATTTGTCTGCCCAGGCTGGCTTAACCACAATCCTCAAATTTCAGTCTCCTGAGTAAACTAGGATTACAAGCATGCATCACTGGTGCCTGGCTTTTGCTCCATTCTCTTATTTTTACAATATGGAATATTTTTTTCGTGTTACAATGTCTTTGACAATTACACAGACATTATGCAGATGTTTTATGCTGAAGACTATGAAGACATTTATGACTTCAGTCATAAATGATGTCAAACAATAGCAAAATAGTCTGACTTGTATCATGACATTAGGACTCGTGGGAGAGGAGGGTGTGTTGATTGCCATTAGGCTTCTGGTTCTGCTGGGCCAATCACATGACTGCAGAGTTCTTTCAGGTGGCCTAGGCATTTGATGGGGAACATGGCCGAGCCACGGTGCTCACAAAGCCTAGGCATCTTGCACTCAGATGTGCTGTGGAGTGAGCCAACTGGATTCCCTAAATCTTTTTCATTTTCATACTTGCAGTTGACACACAACATCTTTTCCCGTCTTGTACTGTACATACAGGTTGAAGCCAGCCCAAGTGGAAAAGTCTGCAAGACTCTTATCTTCAATGAACCATCAAAAAGCATGAAGTGGAACTGTGGCTCAGTGGTATAGCACCAGTCTTTAGTGAAAAAAACCAATAAGGCCTTGGGTTCAAGGCCCAGTACTGGCATGTACACACACACACACACACACACACACACACACACACACACACACACACACACAAAATCCCATAGGTTTTGCCAACACACCACCAACTTGGCCATGAAAAACTAAACCAAATGCACCTAAATTAGAAAATTATCATTTGCAGGGTAAATATTTTAGTTTAATACTTTAATTCAGATTTCATTAATAACAATCAATTATTTTTAAAAACCTTTTTATTATAGGACAAAGAGGATACACACAACCTGAAGACAATTGGACTTTGATTTATTGAATATTACCGGGCACCTATTTACAGACATAATTGAGTAGAATTTATAAGAATACCATATAGAATATTTTAAAAGTGAATTGAAAACACCCTTAATGGGAATCATTGGGTCATCATTTCTATTAATACGAGAATTTCAGCTCTTCAGTCAATATCCATGATAGATCATTTCATAAAAAATAATTTCAAAAGATGAGTCTGAGGAAATAAAAATAATCAGAAAAATATCTCCGTATCGAGTAAGAATCTTCCTGTTTTTCTGTAAAAAAAAATTAACACTTATAAGCAAACATTCTTTGTTACATGCAGGACTATGTTCTTTAAGAATATTTAATTTTATAGCACAGAAAAGCAATTTTATTCATATTTCCAGCATTTTAAACATAAGAAAAGTTGAAAAGCAAATGTGCTATCCAAAGTGAAACCCAATATCAAAACACTACTTAAAAAACAGTGCAATGGGCCTGGCCACCATCTTACCCAAACACTTCACATGCATGCCTACGGATGGAACACCAGGAGTGCAAAAGAACAGAAGATCTTTAATCTGCCCTATGTGTGACTTGCTGCAGAAGCCGCTCGCTGTTCTCGGGGGCATTATGAGGCCATCAGAAGGACAAGTTCTGGACCTGCCTATCAGAGCACTCTGGGTACAAGGCCTGGCAGCCCTAACTTACAATGATAACCTAGTCCCCTAACAACAGCCTACACCCCTAACGATAACCTAGACCCCTAATAATATTCTCAGTACACAAGTACCCAAGACACAGGGATCCTGGTAGCACAGTTTTCTCAATTTGCACAAATTGAGAACACACAGGATATGTTATTGTGTGGAGCTCAATCTCCTTTTGCTTTGCAAAGTTTATGATGCTTTAAAATGTACTGCTATTATTACTGACAGTTTAGATTTTAAATAAAAGCATCAAATCCTATCTACTCATTTTGAAAACTTCAAAATGAGAGTGTCAGTGATACAAAACTTGTCTTAAAATTATGAAAACCACGAAATTCCTAATGGATTTTTTGTTAGAACGGCACTGATACAAGGTTTGGTAGGCATGATTTAATCAATATGAATAAATATCATTTGTGATCTCATATTTTAAAAAATCTATAAGCCAGCATTGTGACTCATGCCTGTAATCCCAGCCCTTGAGGAACTGAGACAGGAAGATGGGCTACATAATGAGACCATGTCATTAACAAACAAAACAACAACAACAACAAAATTATTCGGCAAAGAAGTTCTATGAATGGTGGTTATGTTGGGTTTGTTTTTTCTGTTTTGGTTTGAGTTGTTTAAAGTTGCTCTTAAAAGCTCCTGCTTAACCACTCTATTTATCAGGTAAATTTAAGAATCTTTATGGATCACAATATAAAATGTGATCCATATTATAAAATGGATCACAATATAAAATAATTGGAGCCTAAGGTAATAGTACTTAAAGGGTCATTTTATTTTTATTATCTCCAAATAGTAGTAGAAGGGGGGTTCAATGTACCATGCACCTTTTTTATATGCAATGCATCCGCCAGCGCCCCCCCCTGCTCCCCAAGACTCCTACTTCTAATCTCACGTGTGAACATGAACAGTCAGCTTCCTGGTATTCATGTGTTCACCATCTGACCACTGTTTGAAAGGTTCCCATGTTATCTCCACTGCAGTCAGTGTGGCTGTGTACAGAAACAAACCACGTAACACACACACGCCCCGTGTTCCACTCAAGGTCAATGCCCTGGTTGATGCTTGACTTCTTTTTTTCCTTACCTACACTATTTTGTTCTAAAAGTTGCTACCCACTGGCACGTGAGCCAGTGAGGACTGCTACACCTCAGAGAAGAGGACGCGATGTGACACGCTCACGCTCACGCTCACTCCCAGAGTGCACCGCTCCTACCTGTGTGCTCAGTAGTTGATCATTTTCCGAAGGGCATCGTAGCACTTCCATTTGTCAGGGATGTAAAACGGCTCAAAAATGTGGGGGAAGGGAGTGTCGTAGCCACACACTCTGGATATAGGAGCCTCTAAGTTCAAGAAACATTCTTCCTGCAGAGAAGAACCGAGACAGGCCAACTTTAACATGCTCTTTTTATATTGTTAGCGAGAGAAATAGTAACAGCCAGTAATAGCCAGGCACTGGTGGCTTTTGCCTATGATCTAGCTACTACGGAAGCTGAGAACTAAGATTATGGCTCAAAGCCATCCAAGGCAGAAAAGTCCCAAAGACTGCTCTCTCCAACTAGCTAGCAAAAAAAACCAGGAGTGGAGGCATGGCTCAAGGGTAGAGCACCAGCCTTGTGCAGAAAAACGCCAAGCGAGAGCTCAAAACTTGAACTTTGGTTCAAGCCTTAATACCTACACAAAACAAGCAAAGGAAAAACACTAACAACACAATTACACCTACGGAGATGAGAAATGAAGTGACTTCTGCTTTTAAAAAGCATGTCACAAGGAGCATGTGCTCGTGGTCCGTGCTTCTTGAAACACACTTGTATATATATTTATGCGCACTGAGAACACAGCACGGTGTGTGGCAAAGCCAAGTAGGACACAAACTACCAGCGAATGTTCATAGTGGCTCACACTGTGGCTTGAGAGGAGGGATTGCGCTTCTTGGTTCCATCATTCTCCAAGCTGGTAAAATGGATGTGCCTCGCTTCCACAATACACGCCTGTAATTCCCTTGCGGCCCAGATGGACTGAACGGTCAGGGGCCTGATGGCGTCCTTGGCTCCCCCTCCACTGCCTGGGTCAATTCCCCTTTTCACCTGGGAGAGCAGAAGCTCCCGGTGGACAGAGGTCTGGCTTCAGCAAGGAAGAGCTGACCTTTAGTACAACTGTGTGGGGACATCATTTGATGGGGGAAATGTTACACAACTTTTATTAAAAATCCTAACAATATAAAAATTAAAAATTTGAAAGTTTTAAAGCCAGACTTGTGCATATAAAACTTTAAAGATCACATATATCTTTAAATACATAGTTTATTTATTTTTTTAAAGTAAACAGAGTAAGTTTATTTAAAAAGAAAAGGAAAGTTAGTGAGAGCAAACTCTCTCAAGGAGGGAAACCCTAGGTGTGCAAACAATACATATAATTTTAAAATACAAAAATTAAAAGAATGTATAACTTTAAATTCATATATATATATGTTTGTATGTGTAAATTAAATTTTTATTTATTTTGTATATGCCTGTATGTTCTGTGTCTTGAACTCAGGGCTTGGGCACTTTTCTGAGCTCTTGTGCTCAAGGCTGGCACTCTACCACTTGAGCCACAGCACCACTTCTGACTTTTGGCTAGTTAACTGAAAATGAAAGTCTTACAGACTTTCCTGCCTGGGCTGGCTACAAACCATGATCCTCAGATCTCAGCCTCCTGAGTAGCTATGATTAAAAATAGATATTTTAAAAAATCTACCAATCAATCAATCAATCAATGGATAGATGTGTATTTAAACTAGTCAAAGGAAAATGTTAAATTAAAACCCCAGGTTTTAATTTA